ACTATATCAAGAAGGCAGAGGAATTACTCAAAGACAAAAATGTGTATCAACCACTTGAAACCAACCCTATCCAAAAGTTCGACAACCAGATCAATGAAGCCTTTAACGAACTCTTCAAACCAGAAGAAATAACCAAGCAAGACAGATGGAGTATGAAATCGAATGGACTTATCCTTCCTCGATTCTACCGCAGACGAAAACTACACAAACCCGATATCCCTCTACTACCAACAGGCTCACTTCCGGGAACTCCAACATACGACCTATCCGGAGAACTTTCGAGAAAACTGAAACACCTCGTCCAATCCTGCAGACATTCCATAAAGTCACCAACAGAATTCTTAGAAATGATCAAAAATATTAACATAGAAAACGATGAGTTAATGATATCCTTCGATGTTACAGCACTATACACATCAGTCGAACCTCAATTGGCCAAGGAAACGATATCCCTCCTGATCAATGAGGACAAAAACCTTTCAGAACGCAGAAAACTCAAATGTTCAAGTATGATGAAACTGATCTACCCTTGCATGACAACATACTTCCAATTCAACAGAAATATATACAAACGGATGAAAGGAACTCGAATGAGATCACCGATATTCGGACTTATTGTAGAAGAAGTGATGCAGAGATTGGAAGCCATCATTCTACCTGTGATCAAACTAAAATTTTGGATTCGTTATGCAGACGACGCTTTTGTCATCATTATGAAAGATGATATAGAAAACACCCACAGTTTGATGAATAACGCTTTCAATGACATCAAATTCATAATAGGGAAAGAGTCAAATAACCGACTACCATTCCTGGATAATTTAGTCTGTAGGACAAATGCCACAAAGCTGGAAACCCAAGTGTACAGGAAGCCAACACACGTTGACCAAATCATCAACTACAATAACAACAAACCAACGACGCACAAAATTAGTTGCGTGTAAACTGTATTCAAAAGAGTGAGAACACACTACACTACAACAACCTCACACAGAAACGAAGAAAATTACTTGATGGCTATTCTAAAAAGAAACGGCCACCCACAATACTTGATCACAAGATGCCTATCCCGTACACCATCAACTACAAAGTCATTGACAGAAATCAACAAACGCATCATCCTACCATACAAAAGGAGTATATCAGAGATCATGATAAGATTACTGAGACCACTTGGAATTAGTGTGGCTCATAAACCAGCAAATTCCCTACAAACAATATTATGCAGACCGAAGGATGCAACAAGCAAAGAAGACAAACTGAATATCATTTACAAAATCAACTGCAATAACTGTAGTCAACACTACATTGGACAAAGTGGTCGCCATCTTCAACTTAGTCCACATGAACACCAATTGGTTATTAAACGTCACGACATTTCATCATTCATTTCAATGCACCTGGATAATTATGGTCATGAATTGGCTTGCTGGCTGGCTGGCTGGCTGGCTGGCTGGCTGGCTGGCTGGCTGGCTGGCTGGCTGGCTGGCTGGCTGGCTGGCTGGCTGGCTGGCTGGCTGGCTGGCTGGCTGGCTGGCTGGCTGGCTGGCTGGCTGGCTGGCTGGCTGGCTGGCTGGCTGGCTGGCTGGCTGGCTGGCTGGCTGGCTGGCTGGCTGGCTGGCTGGCTGGCTGGCTGGCTGGCTGGCTGGCTGGCTGGCTGGCTGGCTGGCTGGCTGGCTGGCTGGCTGGCTGGCTGGCTGGCTGGCTGGCTGGCTGGCTGGCTGGCTGGCTGACATCGAACCAACCAACGGAGAACCCATCTCCCAATAAGTATGCAGAATATGAAGATGGAGTTGGATGGGATTGGATTGAATTGGGGATACACTGAGAAGACCGTTCGGGGACATCACGCAACAGGCCAGGCCTGGCCAGGCCACGCCAGACCAGACTAGGTCCTTGAGTGGGAGCCAAATGGGAGATGATGAGTTGGGTGTCCGAGGCGAGGGTGACATGGAGTAGATGGTGTGAGGAAGAAATGAATGGTTGTGGGTAGTCGTGGAGCCAGATTCGGAAGACTGGAGAGAACAGAGTGCAATGGATACGTGCTACTGTAGCTCTATGTTCCACTAGGAACTCAAGTGACAAATGGTTATAATTCACGTAGCTTTGAAATGAAGGCGCAATATCATTGTATGTTAGATTATGCTGATTATTTATCGAAAATAGTCTTTTATTTCTAGTGCAGAGATCTCAAATGTTACGTGAAATTCAACTGAAAATAGAAGCCGATTTGCACCACAGGTTACTCTAGAATATATAATTTACGTGCCTGTACTTCTATCATTCATGGAGAAAAGCAGTTTTTAGATTCAGTATGAAAAATCCTTTGGATTGGCCACTATTAAATTTCGTCTAATAACTATTTCAAAACAATGTTTTTATTTAACCATAGTAAAGCAGCAGTGACAATAATTGACTTGGTGGTGGTTAGTTGGGGAGTCGAAGACACTCGTTTCGTCCTATCTGGTACTCGTCAGCTGGATATATCTGCACTCCAGTG